TACTTGCCATTCATGTGTCAGTATGTGCCCATGCCTCTGTCGACAAGTGCATGTGTTTGTAAAATGCAGTCAAAATTAGACTAATTAATTGATTTCTTTAGGTGTAACAGTCTACTTCCTGTAAGTTAACAATCCATACAAGTACATTCTGTAAATGTGTGCAGTTACAGTAAGAGTAGGGCTGAACAAATTGTGATCTTTTTCTTCTTACTTTACAGACAAAATGTGCCATCATCCTCTGGCTTCTTTTTAGCACCATTGGCATTTTTAACTTCCCTTCAAGACCGCAGAAGCTATCTGTATCTCCCTGTGAAAAGGGCTTTAGAGCATGATTTTCTTATTCTTTCAATGTTCTATATGTATTACAGGGAGTAGCAGAAGACGCAGGAGATTTGTATGGCCAAGGCCAAAGTGTTTGTGTTAACATTCTGTGGTGAAGAGGTCGCAACCAGAACAAAGGGAGACTCTGAGTCGTATATGTTCCGAGCATTTCCCTCCAAATGAAAAACTTGACTGTTTAAGAAACGAACAGAAAAGTACATATGACTAGGTGTGTGTGTGTGTGTGTGTGTGTGTGTGTGTGCGTGTGCATGTGTGTGTGTGTGAAGGAAAGAAAGAGTCAGAGACAGACAGTGAGAGAGAAAGTGACAAAAAGAGAAGTGCTTACACACTCTTATTGTAAGTCACAGTTGTGATTGAATTTGTACGGAAAAGCAAAAAAAAAAAAAAAATGTTCCCCCTCTGTCAACTCTTTTTAAACATTGTGTGTGCATGTGTGACATTGTGAGTATGTGTGTTTCTCTATGATGACTGGTCTCGCTCCAGTTGGTTCACTTTAAATCGCACACACGTTACAGGGCACACACACACGCACACACAAATATGCATGCATGGATAAGCTTCATTGAAGAGAAATACTTTTTCCTGGAATTCTTTTCTTTGTGCAAAATGCACACGTGTACACACACAAGCACACATATTCATTTTCTCTATTTCTTCTTCTTCTTCTGTCATCTTTCTGACAAAACACACACACACACACCCATGAACCCACATGAACTCACATAAAACCCATTCATTCAGACAGAACTATTTGGCACTCAAGACCTTTGCCCACACACACACACACACAGACACACACACACGCGCGCACACGCACACACGCACACACACACACACACACACACACACACACACACACACACACACACACACACACACACACACACACACCTCCTCTGAGCTTATCTCAGTGCTGTGTGGAGCAGCTTTTGAAGGCAGTAGGGAGCCAGTTGTTGACGAGCCACTTAATAATTCCCTTGGACAGGCGTGAAATTCTTTCCTTTTTCCTCTCTGTCTCTTTTGCTCTCGCTCTAATATTTCCCTTCCTGCTGTGTTTGTCTGCTTTTTTTTTTTTTTTTACATCCTTTTTCTTCTAATTTTGTTCTTTGTTTTTCCCCCCACATTACTGCCTTCTCTGCATATTTGTCTTTTCTGGGTTTTTTTCTGCTTCCACTGATTCATCTTTGCATCCACTTGTGAAGTTTTTTATTTTTTGTGAAAAGGAACAGGCAATGGCAGTCTGCATTATGATTTCAGTTTTAGCTTAAAATGAAGATTTGATCCATTCTGTAAATTCTAGGATGTGCAATCTACAGTATTTCTACAAAATATGATTATTTTTCCTTCCTGTGGGATTTTCTTCCCTGTCTATCTTTCCTTCTTGGACTTTCTCTCTATGATTAAATTAAATCATAATTAAACATGTGTATAATTCAATTTCAATTCTATTCATGGCCAGTGCCTGTCTCCTGCTCAACCCATGTTAGAATCAGGGTAAAGCAAGGTCGGCATGAATGAGGACGGCGGTGGTTGTGGGGATGACACAATCCGATGGTGGTGGCTGGGAGTCGGGTCATCATCATCATTAGAAAGTTATTTAGAGTCCATAAGAAGACAAAAACAAACAAGGTAAAAAAAGACAAACGAACAGACAAAGCATCACCATACTATGTACTCTTCTACTATACTGAGCTATACTGTAGACTATGACACTTTGATTGAGTGCTTTAAGGCTAGATAGTCACTGTACAGGTCTACGAGATGCTTTACCTGCATTTAACATTGAGCCAGAGTTTTTAAAAAATAAGTCCACACACCATCACAGTGTCAAAGAACTAAACAGTTACTTCTTGTCTGTTTAAATTTATTTGAGCGTTAAGTTCAAGGCCACAAAACTGACATATCAGATGAAAGGGCTTTGTAGGAGACAGACAGAGGTCTCTAATAACTCAACATTTTACTCCTTTATAAAAAAAAAAAAGTCTTTACCCTCTTGTTGTTGTCATCTTTTGGCCTGTGGTGTGATAGCGGAGATGTAAACATGATGTTATCTGACGCATTGTAGCTTCCGAGAGTCTACTGCCCGGGGATACACACACACACACACACACACACACACACACACACACACACACAGCAAAAACAATCTTACACGCACACACACATACAAACACAAACTTAATGTATACACATAAAGGCCTCAGACTTGCACAAGCACATAGAGAATTAGACCCACATAATCTCCTGAAGTCTTTCTCTTCTTCCTCTTTGATTTTATCCCTCAATCTACTCTCCGACCCTCAAGGAGGAAGGAGAATCTCCTTTTTTAAATTTATTTATTTCTCTGATACGCCTGTTTGTCCCCCTCTTTTCCCCCTCCTCCTCCTCCTCCTCCTCCTCCTTACCTGTTGGTCACCAGTGCATAACTGTCTTCTGTCGTGTTATATATCTGCAGTATCTATTTCTTAATTCGGGAAAGACTGATCTGAGTTTAAGAGCGAGAGACGGAAAAGAGAGTGTGTATGTGCCTTAGAGAGGAAGAGAAAGATCTCATTAAGTAAAGGTCGCAAAGCGATGTGTTGCTGAGAAGGACAGGGCGTTAGGCGACTTGTCACTAGTCACTTTCACTTAAGCTCTTGACTTCGTGTGTTAAGTGTGAGTGTGTGTGCATCAGCATCTTGTTAAATTTGTTTGTGTTATTCATGAGTGTGTTCATGTCTGCAAGTGTGTATCTTTGCCCTGATATGCTATTTATACATGTATTTTATTTGCATATTCTTTGCTCTTAGTCTTCTTCTTGCTTTTGCATGCCTATGAAGTTTTTTTATACACTGATTGTGTAACCGTTTCTGCAACAACAAAAAAGTACCTACAGTATACATTGGGAGTAGTGGTTGAGAGATTCCATAATTAGCCCACATTTTCTGGAGTGTACATTTTTTACTGCATCCTCCTGTGTGCTACTCTTGCAATGTTAATGCATTTATTATTAAATGATTACTCTTAGTCAACATGTTTCAGAATGTCCTTTGTGCATGAACATCTCCTGATGAAGATTAAAATATTATTTTCACTCTTCTTAGTAGGTGGTTAAAAAAACTAGAGCATATTTGCAAGGCTCTACATTAAAATGATTCTCTCATCACATGGTTGGACCGAACACTCAGGGGCGTGTCCAGACTTTTCTGACTGGGGTGGCCAAACTGTAGTTCTGACTTATGCAGGGGTGGCCTTATGTGTGACGTCAACACATGCATCCAAAATAATCTAATTTATTTACGCTTTCTAACGCCACTCATTATAATCTACTTTTATGTAACCCAAGAGTGGCAACATACTGTATATCTTCTTGGCCTGTTTTTTTAAGGACTCTTAAAAAAAAGATGTGTTTAAATTTAAACATAATTTACAATTTAAACTTATTAAAAACTTGATTTAAAATGCCAGCACACTGTCTGTACACTGATCGACAGTGTTATGCACCTGTCTTATAAAATTGATGTGCAGGGTATTTATTTACAATTTAAAAAACACTAAATAATATGCCTCATTTACATGTAAAGAAAATAACTTGCAGCATTTTAGGAAAAAGATAGAATCATTGTATTAACAAACATCCTGCCTCTGACAAGGCAAATAGCTAATCATAGTTTAGGAATTTAGGGGTGGCCCCTGGGGCCAATCAAATTCCAAGGGGGGGCCACCCCTGGTCACGCCCCTGTTAACACCTATCCTTAAATTTACTTCAACTAATTCAAACTTTAACCCCTCAGCAGTAGAAAAATAAAGAAGTGAAGACCAGCTAATTTAACAAAATAATCCTCAATCTGAACGTCTGGAATGCCTCCCAACAAAGACAGACTAAAAAAAAAAAACTTTCTTGTTTAGCAGATTGAAACCATTTTCCTGGTATGTACAACATGTACATTTCTTATGTGTTTCTTCGTCAGCCCTTGTGTTGGCATCCTGAATGCTCATCTGAATTCTACTAGAGTCAAGAAGCGACGAACACACACACACACACACACACACAGAAACATAACTTCGGGCTCAGTGATACCCTGTAATCAGGCCTGTGTGTGTGTGTTGGCGGTAATAAATGCCCTCTTAGAAACTCAAAGCCAAATAATCAAGATTGATGCTGGCACAGCGCGCTCTGAGGTGTGCATGTTTGTGTGTTGGTTTTCTGGTGCTATTTTGTTGGAAGGATCTAATCAAATGTAATCATGCTGATTACATTAATCTTGCAGTTCATAATCACATTTTTCCTCTCCTTTAAAGCTCTCCCTTGGTCTTTTTCACTTGTGCATTCCTGTCAAGTCCCTTTTTTCTTTCACTGTCCTCAGTCACTTTGGGTGGAGATACTCTAAAATGAAAACGTGTTCATCAAAATGATGATTAAGTGTTACTCAGCATAACATTCTCTGATTGGAATGATTATATCTGACTGTATTCAACATCTTTTATTCTTGCATAACACAAACAACTGCTTTTACTGGCTTCCAAAACTTTAAATAATGAATTCCCGTTTAGGGCTGTAGGTGCCCAAACCTGCTAAAATGATATATTTGAATGGAGTGAAAAGAAGGAGAAATAATTGTTGAGATTTTTATTTTTATTTAAAAAAAAAAATGTCTTTCTTCTTTTTCTCTCTGTAGGACACAGAGGTAGTGAACACCGCCATACTTACAGGTCGGCGTGTTGCAATGCCAATCAAACTGGTTACCGTGGAAACTGACGGGCAGGTGAGGGAGGTGGACGACCCTGTCACCTGCACCTCGACAGATGTGGACGTGGTTAAGGTATGCATTACAAGTACACATGTAGGGTATTATGTAAATGTAGGATTTATCAATGAATTATATTTACTTTTCTACACACACACACACACACACACACACACACACACACACACACACACACTCTTACACAAACTAACAAACAGTTGCCAATGATCTCCTTCCCACATGCTTAGTTACAAACAAAAAGTAACATCCATACAGAGAGTCCTAGGGAAAGATGGCTCAGTTGTATCTGGTAAACCAGTTGGTGTTTTGCTTCAAGATTGAACTTGCACCAAAGAGAAACATAAGTGTAGTCAATTAATAAAATGTGTTACAAACGCTCTGCAAGGCATGTGAAATATTGATTAAACATCATTATTTAATATAGAACATAAAGAGAACAGGGTAACTCAGGATATTTTAAACAGCACAGAATCCATTTTCAATCATTATCATGATACAGAATGTTTTCACAGCAGCTCATAATTATATACTTATCACAGCGTGCAAGCTTTTTTTTAATCACATATCCAGTTTTTTCTGAATGTCAAATGAAAATAGCTGGAAATGACTGCTCTTACTAATCCATAAAAAGCAACACGTGTGTTTCCTTTATTTGAGCTGTTAGAAGGAGCAAAGGTGAGTCTGTTGTGCAGTATAGCAGTTAAACAGATGTGGCCTCCTAAAAATCTCCCTCACTGTTTAATTAATAAAGCAAAGGTTCAGCTTAGCCCACAGCGTAAGGAATTGTTGTTTGAAAGTCATGTCTATTCACTTTTCAGACAAATGGTCTAGTCCAAGGTTGCACAGATTAAAAGACATGAATGAAGGCTATCATGTTCAGATGAGAACTCTTTTTCTTGTAATCAAAGTTTGGCTTTAATTAAGGTGTCTTAGACTCAATGCCGTCTTTTGAAATGAATTTTAATTTGAAAGGGTTTCTTTGATTCTCGCTTGATGTCTCTTTCTTCCCTGCTCTTTCTTTGCTCAGATTCACAGAGAGCTACCACCCACAGATTGTGACGTTTTAAAATCATCAGCAAAACTTCCTGTAAATCTTTGCCATTGACAATTTAAAGAAAACAGGGCTGTTTTGGCAGTGTGCAGTTAATCTATTTTATATAAGCCGTAACAAGTAATATTCTGCTGTTGATATTGTTTCCTTCTTTTGGTCATAACCAGGAAAAATCTTTCCACAGGAGCTTAAATAAATCACAATTTTCACACACCTTATTGACCTTGTCACTGAGGAGAATACTGAAACACTTTACTGTTCCTCTTGAAGTAAAAAGAAGATGAACTTGCTCTTCCTGTGATAAATCTTTTTTTTTTCTTAGGTGAAATCAAGGTTAAAGGGAATGTGTACAAAACCTTACTATATAAACTGTGATGTAAGATATCACTCTCGCTTTTTTCACTCAGTAATCAGTCCTTGCTTTTACACTTAATTCCCTCAGAGATCATAGGTCAGGGCCAGCTGGAACTGGCAGAGGCCCAGTGTCTCTCTGCAGGACTCTCAAGCAGACATGACACCTGGAAAGGACAGTCTTGAGTCTCGAGTGCTGAGCCACTCCGCCACCAAACCAAACAAACCAAATTAATCATCAAGAAATAATAACAAAAAATACCTTTACAGCAAACAAGCCAGTGTCAGGGACTGAAGATTGATTCCTCTCATGCTCCGTTCCCCGTGCCCTCGGGCCTGAAAATGAAACACACTCGTAGTGTGACAGTTTCAATATGAAGCCAATTTCCTGGTACAAGCCGACAGGAGTGGTGCTGTTTAAGTACGATCAATAACAACACTGAAAATGGAAAGAACTCTTTCAGATAGATGTAATGTTAGAGCGCTATGTGTGCGTGCGTATTTGTAGTTGTGTGTGTCCCCATGCACAAGGGGGAAAGGAAAGTGTATGAAAGGATGTAGGTTAATGGTGCCCGCTTGTGAACGTATGTTTGTTTGTGTTCCACACACGCGTGTGTGTTCTTTGTGGATGTGTGTACGTTGATTTTTTATGATTTTATACGTTTTTTTGTCAATGGAAAGAAATATTAATGTTCATGTTTCGTTGACAATTAATCATTTTTAAACCTTAACAGACAAACATAACTGATGAAACTATAAAGAAATTCTAACTTTAGACGATAAAAATACACTAGAACAGAAAATATAAGCTTCATTTTAAAACAGTAAGCTGTTTAAAACTACACAGAAATAAAAGATGAATCATAGTTTGCTGTAGAATAAACCTACTTGTGACTTCTTGGGAATTTTTGCAGGTAATGTATTTGTTACAAATAGCCAGTACAAATTAATACTGAATTTTGGAACCATTTCCCCTGCAAACAGTGCAGGTGCAGGGGTGAAACATGTAAAAAACATATTACAAGAATAAATAGGAAACTGCTGTCCTTCACTGCTGAACTGAAGCTGAACCCTGGGATTGCAGGTTAAAAAAAAGATCCCATGAATTACTGAAACACACCCAATATCTATCTACACAGCATGTGATTTATACCAGCTTTTTTAAGTTAATTAAATTGAAGTTAACAGACAGAACTGGTACATGAACAACTGTATCCATCACATTTCTGATTTACAAATTGTTGATACTACAATCACATTTTCACCAATTTAGAAACAGTGGAAGCAAAATCACCACATTTGGATAAAACAATGTTCTATTTTTATGACACCTATTGATATAACACAGCAGAGAGAAGACACTTAAAAATCATCCCTGTATTAAGATTAGCGATTTAGAAACTTTAAGCCCTCCCTTGTGCCTACTGTGTTTGTCAAAGAGAGTTTGTCTGTGATGACCGTCTGCAAACTGTTGTGTTTTTGTTGACGTATGATCTGACAGATATTCCCTATCCTTTTCCTTACACACACACACACAAATACCAATGCAAACACACACACACATGCACACACATACACACAAGGATAAGGCGATTTAACACAGACAGCTGTTTGAGAATGGCACCCATGGGGTACAGCTCCAGGTAGCTGTAGCTGTCACTGAGTCACTGACAGCTGTAAAGTGCAATCCAAAGAGCCTGCACAGCAAACACGCAGGGTTTACGTGCCCTGAGCTGAGGCTGCTCTCCCTCACAGGCCCGCTTTGTCCGTGCTGACAGTCACAAAATGGTGCAGTTTCCAAACCTTATAGCACAGGTAAACACAAAATCAAAACTAGTTAATGCAAAGCTACTCTCATTTATAAGATACAGCAGCTTTTTCACAGGTCAAGTTCATGATAAATACACTGTTATCATACTGTATGCTATTCTTACAGTCTAAACTTATAATGTGCAGTAACTCATGTAAACTATGGTAACATTCTCAATTTTCTCAATTTGATAAGTAAATATAAGTTGAATTGTCACATAGAGTCTGATTTAAGCCCTTCCTGGCAGCTTTCTGTTTAGTAAATGGTAAATGGACCTTGACAGCCATTTTCTCGTCTTTTGACTACTCAATGTGCTTTTACACTACATGGCACATTGACAAGTTCACACTACATTTGCGCACTGGTGGAAGAGGCTGATATGTAAAGTGCCCATTTGGCCATTAGTACTATTCCATTTACACATCGCTGGCATTCACTTGTCACAAATTTGTAAACCCCCATCTATCCAATTGTTTAAACATCATCAGGACAAACAATGAACCAAAAAATGGCTTCCAATTGTCCATATTAGTCCCAGTCGTTAGGCCCAAAGATCACCTTTTGGGTTGAAAGAAGTTCCTTGTCAGTGTAAGTGGTACTTAATTGTCATGGTTACAATGAAAGACAGGCTCATTATTGCAGGAATGAGATAATGCCCCTCAAAACAAGATTATTGTTGGTATGTGAAATTGGAAAATAAGACAGCAGACTCAATTTTTAGACGTTTTTTGGGCCACTTGCCACCCCAACCTCCTCCTGTGCAAACACCTTGCAAAAAAAGCTCTTCATATGGCTTTTTCTTTTTAGTCCTCTCTGTAATATCACATGAGTTTAGCCCTTGATAACAGTCTTGTAAGCTGTAGCTCAAGACAAGATGCACAATTCATGTTTTACATTTCCATCATTTCCCAGTGGCATTTGCTGAAATTGTAAGGCATTCTTAAAGCATTAATGATGTTTGAACTACAGTCATCAAACATAGCAGTGCCTAAAAAAAATGAAAAATCAATTCTCAGCAGAGCAACATAATACTGAAGAAGAGACCAGCCCAAGAAATTACAAGATACTCACCTCTATATTAGCTTTTACATTTCCTTTATAGGTTCCAGGCTGGTGCAGTAATAGAAAGCATTAAGCCAGCCGAGAAAACGGATGAATAAATCAAAGAATGACTGTAATTTCCTCAGGAATTGTTTTAACTATAGCAGTCCACTTTTTTTACTGCAGGTTTGTTGAGCAACTGCTCCACTTCAGATTCATGCTGAAGCTCGTAAGAATGAAAAATAAACTGTTGGAGGGAAAAATGTCTCCCTAGGTTTTTTTGCTGCTAGCAGTAACAAGCTGTAGTCTGCGGAGGATTAGACTCTTCATTTGGTTTCACATCACATTCCATTAACCAGCCTTTTGTTTAATTACTCATGGTGGATAAATGTTTGCAGGGGGAATTGAACAGTGCTTTCCCTGCCCTGCTAATGAACGTATGGCTGAAATGACCGGCTAAAGCTGTCACCAGCTACAGAGTGCGAATGTAGATTTCTGCTATGAAGCTTGTGTTGTTCACTTTAGCTCATTTATCCCCTGATATCAACATAAACAGCAGCAGTGATGTACTACATCGATAATAACTTTCAGCCCCCTCTCCCTCCTCTCATTCCCTGTCAGTGCAAACGATCTTGTTAAGGTCCTGTGAGATGCTGTGATTTGCGATGTGAGTATGTGCATGTGCTGCTGCTGCTGTTGTTGACACAGCAGTATGTGTAGGTTAGCCGTGTCAGAGCTAGTAGGGGACGGATAGGGGACAAGCACACGCATACACACAAATTAGTACCATTATCCTGACCT